GCATTCCTGAACTTGTAAATCAAGTAGGTAGCAGTACTGTGGAAGTAGAAATGTGTGTGTGTGTGTCTGCGTGCATGCGTGCTCGCATATATCCATGAAGCCATGTGCAACAGTGCCTATATGTGCATCTTTCTCTTCTTTATGTACAGCACTACATTCATGGATACCAGCATTAAATTTAGAAAATATACTTTATAATTGTGATAGAACTTCCAGCAACTTACTGTTTTATAAAGAAGTCAGATTTTAGGCAACCATAGAAATGATCCAGTAAAACTACTATACAGTTTTTAAAATGCTGCTTTTTGCTTATGTTAGTTGAATCCTCATTTTTATAATTACCTCTTTATAATACCTGGGCAACAAGTGTATACTCTGAGGAGGCAAGCTTTTTTTGTGTTAAACAAAACCTGTTTACACTGGTAAATCTGTGAATATCCCAACAACACCATCTCCTATTCCTAGTTACCTATTCAGCCTTATGAAAATATGCCATTTACAAATCTGTATTTTTTTGAAACATACATTTTGTAGTGGATCTTTTCATTATAGGATGTGTGTTTGGGGGCACTTGAGTAACTCTGTGTGTTTAATGATAAATGGGAAAGATCCTCAGGGTTCTCAGGCTTTGTTGGGGAGACAAATGTGTATAAAAAGAATTACATTTCAGTGTGGCAAACACTGCACAGAACTTTTTGAAGCGTGGTTGAGAAACACGGAGCAGTGATGATGTACACCTGCGGGTACCAGCCACCTGTGACCCTGACCAAGGAGCCGTGTCTGACCTGACTGGGGGAGGAAGTGAGGGTTATATGAGGACCGAGAAGCTTTAACTGCCACTAGAATTTTTTTTTGTTTTTGGTCTGCGTCGGGTCTTAGTTGTGGTACTCGGGATCTTGAGTTGAGACATGGCAGTGCAGGCTCTTCGTTGTGGCGCGTGGGCTTCTCTCTAGTTGTGGTGTGCGGATTTTCTCTCTAGTTATGGCGCGTGGGCTCCAGGGTGCGTGGGATCTGTAGTTTGTGGCACACGGCTCTCTCATGGAGGTGCATGAGCTCAGTAGTTGCAGCACGTGGGCTTAGTTGCCTCGCGGCATGTGGGATCTTAGTTCCCCGACCAGGGATCGAACCAGCGTCCCCTACATTGGAAGCTGGATTCTTTACCGCTGGACCACCAGGAAAATCCCCTAGAATTTTATTTAAGCTGGAAATAGTTTTGTCTTCATGTAAAATAGTTAACGGTCCTTATATAAAAATCTGCCAATCACAAAAGTACATATTTTTTTAAAAAGTTGAAAATCCTCCATAATCTTGGCACAAAGAATCATAAGTAACTTGTGTGTGTATATTTAGGAAAAAAAAAGGAAGCAGACTTTTAAAATACTTCTGTGGCCTGTTTTACTTTATGAAAGTCATCGTCAATCATCTTTTTTGTTTAATGTATACATCTTTAATTTTAATGGCCAAAATAGTATCCATCTTACTGAACACCATTTAACCAGTTATCTACTGATGAAAATTTAATTGTTCCTAAATACTTTCTGTTATAATTCTATGAATTACTTACATCTTGTTCACTTTGTCTGTTTTCCTAGCTACAATCCAAGAGAAAGGATGATTGGGTTAGAGGGCTTATTTTAGAGGTTTATCTACATACTCTCAGGCAGTTTTCCTAGATGATCGTATAGCTGCTTTTCCATAGCAGGGTGTGATGACTCCAGTCCATCACCCTCACCAGCGGTGCTGCCGTGGCCCACGAAGATGAAAGAACCCACAGTGTGAAAGAGCAAGTGACAAGGCAAATACTGAGCATGATGATTCTTTCAAATCCTTGCCAGTCTGAGGGGCAACAAAGATTCTTGTTTTAATTTGTATTTCTTTCATTAGCAAGATTGAGCATACTTTATATTTTTTGGCCATTGAGATGTTTAATAGTTCTGATGGGGTTTTTATTTTGTTGGTCTGTAGCGATGCTTTAGTTACTGATTGTTGATTCCTTCATTTAACAAATATTTGTCTTCTATATGCCAATCAGTCTTTCCTTAGAGACTGAGGAGCAATAGTGAACAACTTATTTCCTGCTCCCAGAACTCAGGCAAGGAACCACACAGAAGTAGACATGGTGAAGGAGAGGTTACGAGGAAAGGCATATGATGCTGTGAGACCTTTAAATACAGGGGCCTTTTCTTAGGATAGGGTGGGATGTCAAAAATTTTCTCTAGGGCTTCCCTGGTGGCGCAGTGGTTGAGAGTCCGCCTGCCGATGCAGGGGACACGGGTTCGTGTCCCGGTCTGGGAAGATCCCACGTGCCGCAGAGCGGCTGGGCCCGTGAGCCATGGCCGCTGAGCCTGTGCGTCCGGAGCCTGTGCTCCGCAATGGGAGAGGCCACAATAGTGAGAGGCCCGCATACCGCAAAAAAAAAAAAAAAAATTTCTCTAAAAAAGCATGTTTGCAGGATGACTGTTAACCTGTCTATATTGTATATTGTAAATAGTTTGCCCAGTTTTTTTTTTTAAATAAATTTATTTATTTTTGGGTGCGTTGGGTCCTCATTGCTGCGTGCAGGCTTTCTGTAGTTGCTGCGAGCGGGGGCTACTCTTCATTGCGGTGTGCGGGCCTCATTGCAGTGGCTTGTCTTGTTGCGGAGCACGGGCTCTAGGTGTGCAGGCTTCAGTAGTTGTGGCATATGGGCTCTGTAGTTGTGGCTTGCGGGCTCTAGAGCGCAGGCTCAGTAGTTGTGGCGCACGGGCTTAGTTGTTCCGCGGCATGTGGGATCTTCTTGGACCAGGACTCGAGCCCATGTCCCCTGCATTGGCGGGTAGATTCTTAACCACTGTGCCACCAGGGAAGTCCATCCAGTTTCTTTTTAGTGGTGGCTTGTTTATAGTTTTGTTCTTTAGTTTAAAAATGTTTGTGTTTTCAAAACCAGGATGATGAGATAAAGAATAACTGGGGACTGACTTGAATAGTCAGGAAAGGTTTTTCTGGAGAGATGACATGTAAGCTGACACATCTGAAGGATGAGAGAGCTAGCTAGGTAAACAGCATAGGGA